TTATTTTATTTTATTTTATTTTATTTTATTTTATTTTATTTTATTTTCTCTTTATTCACTGAACCAAAAATGATTTTTCCTCTTCAAGGTAAAATTTACTGCAGAGCAACACTTCTTTCTTTAAAAACAAACAAGCAAACAAAACAAACAAATCTGAAACTATTTTCCAGACTTTTTCAGCTCAGTCTCCAAAATGGATGAGACAGATAGTTGGAATTTGATTTATAAATTTGTATCTAGAGAGGATTCAGTGTGGGCAGTGTGTTTCACCACAACTAAGTGAAGAGCTCTTGAAAATATGAATTTTTGAGTATGACAGTATGAATGGTTTCTGTTATTTTGTTTTATTTTTTAACCTAGTAGTATGATAGAATTTAATTCTTCATGACTTTATTGACCATCAGAAAAAGTGGCATATAAAACTCTTCTCTCTTCAACTAATCTGAATCTCTTCATTTCTTTAGAGAATTTACCCCTTCATAAGTTCCTTAGGTGTGAAAATAAGGAAAGGAGATAATCTGTCTTCTTCCGAGTTCCCATTTAAAATTGCATTATATGGGGGATTTGTAGGCACTGTAAAACTATCTTCATAGAGAAAATCACACACTTGATAACACAGTTAAATTTATTCTGTCTGGCTGTAAAAAGAGGGGATTTTGTACATCACAGTCTGCTTACTGTGTTGTTATTGAATTATTCTGAGTGTTCAGTAAGTACAAGTGCTTATTGCAAACTGACTTATCTTTGAATCTTATCCAGATATAGCAGTTTATGCCTCTGCAACTGTATCCTGTCATTCCTATATCCTGTGTCTCATAGTATCCTACAACTCTAACTCTTGTATTTGAAGCTGAATGGGAAAAACCTTTCAATCCACAATACACTAAAAAGGAAAGATTCTTTGTGGATGGGAACAAGGCTGTTGAAGTCCCAATGATGTTTGGAATTGGTGCGTTCAAACATGGCTATGATGAACAACTGTCTTCCACTGTCGTGCAAATGGATTACAAAGGAGGTGCTTCAGCATTTTTTGTTCTGCCTGATCAAGGAAGAATGAGGAAGCTGGAAAAAAAACTGTCTTGTGAACGTATGGCAAGATGGAGAACATTAGTCTCAAAAAGGTAAAATTCTACAGTTCTTGGTTCAGATGGTAAGAAAGGAGATACATTTTAATCTGCTGAGTTCTGATAAAGAATTGGGATACTATTTTAAATTCTATTTTAATCTATTCAAAAATTTCCTCTGACCAAATCTGAAATTTGACTTTCTGATACTCCTGTGTTTTCACATTCATACTGCATGAACTGAAAGCTTTCACTGCTACAGGACTTTTGCTACTCTCACATTCTGTTTCCTGAGGTCAACTTCTGTAGGTCCCAGTTTTCTGCCTTAATACTTCTAATCATTTGTTTGTTTGTTTGTTTTGTTTTGTTTTGTTTTCTTCTTGTTTTTTGGCTTTCTGTTCCTCTCTTCTATTTACATCTAAATTCGTATTACTTTCCTTAAGACTTTTTTATTTTTCTTGGCTCTTCCTTTCTCTTCGTACTTTTATCAGTAATTACACATTTAATGTTGAAATAGCAATGTTCATGTGACAATTGTGAGGACAAAGTTCAGTGATAAGTGTATAGATCATCTAATATGTTGCAGAGCCATTGAATTCAGGCTCTGAAGACTTAGAAAGGCAATATTATATTAAGGCACACTTGCTTCAAGGTTACATTGAGACTAAAAGACAAAGTTCATTTGCTTTAAAACAGCACATCTTAGACTTCTGTATCCATTAGTGTTATACGTAGTAGTAGTCTTTGATGGGGAAAAATATGTGCACAAGCATGGGCAAAACATGTTTGCAGGATGAAGCCCTTGTATTCTTCAAATTTATGAATACATCACATAAGAGACCTTCACACATCCACGTTTGAACACTGTTTCGAATTATGAGTTTTCAAGACAAAAGAGAACCTTAATATTTAAAACAGTTTCACGCTTTTTTACTCTAATTCACTGTCAAAACTTTTCAGGAAAAAAAAATCAAACATTTTTCATTTAAAAAATTGTCAGAAATAAAACGCATATTTTTCAGTGCAGCTTTACAATTTTTAAACTTCTGGGAGCAGTTACGTGATTGGTCATTTTCACTATAGCACAAATCAGAAACTGAATCAAGTTACTTATGAAGCATTTTTGCCAAAGAAGTGCAAGTTACCTTTAAAATCACTATGAGAGATACTAAATAGAACACACATTTTTTGTTTCATTTCCCTTCTTCCCCCACATGAAATAACTTACTTTAAAGCTGTGAATGGGAGATATAGCACTTTTAATATTATAAATGCATCCCTATCATGAGCTTGTTCTACACAACTCTCCATCTTTCCTCATGCCAACTCTCTCTTGCAAACCAATAACTTCAACTCCTCCCCTTTTTGCCTGTAGTTCTCAATGTAACTGCTGTCATTTAGAGCTTCTGGGATGCATCAATAAATGTCTTTGTTATGAGATATGGAATGATGTAAGAGTTTGGGAAAAGCTATTTTTGTCTCTGTTTTTATATCTGCAAGCTGATACTGACCCAGTTTGTAGTACTGTTCATTAGTGTTGGCTGCAGAATGGGAGATAGTGCCAAAGTATAGGTGCAGCTGACTACAGACATCTGAGAACAATTTAATGGTTGAACTGTGGAGAAAACATTCTTGCCTCTTCTGGAAAATGTATCCCAGTGCTTCTTGCCCAGTCACATTGTTGCTATATACTTTCCCTTTCCTGAGTGTTGAAAACAAGTAGGGGCTTGTGAATGAGCGTCTGTATGTAATAGAAAGATGATGCAATTATAGTTGCCTCTCCTTTGAGTCAGTAATCAGTACCATTAGAAATTAAGTAGGAGATCATAAAGCCATTTTCAATCCACTAGGACTCTCATTTTTGATTACCAGCCAGACTTTGCATTCAATCTGTGGAATGTGCTATGGTGAAAGCACAAGCCTTTCCCTTTCCACCTGTCCATTGCATGGCTCGTGTTTTGGCTAGTTTCACTAAGTGCTCCACACTTCCTTGCCCTATAAACCTGAACCTGGTTTATGACCAGAAAACCGTATTGACAAATTAGCATCGTCAGAATGACCTCTGACTGAACATGCTGCTTGAAAGAACAAGGAAGAAATGGGATGGAATGGAATGGAGCTGTAATTAATTTATTGAAAGATTAAAGTAGTAAAAAAAAAAAAAAAAAAAAAAAAAAAAAAAAAAAAAAGAATAAAGTAGAATAAAAATGAATAAATTGGGCATCAGATGACATACAATTATCTTTCTGAGTAAGTACTTGATGTCTGTGTACTTTTTTGTTACTTTGTCAGCTACACATTGCCCTGCAACCTCAGTATATCTTGTTATCTTTTTTTATTCTTAATTTCTATGATAAACTTAGTGGCACAGCATTTTTTTTTTTTAAATAGCAATATTTGAGACACCTGAAAGAATCTTTTTCATAAGGCATATCCTCTGTATCCTCATTGATGGAGTGTGTGTGAGATCTTTCCTGAAGTATGCAATATATGGTTAACTTTTGACAAATGAAAAGCTTAGGAGGTTCGTCTTTACTGTAGTATTAGCTCATTGCAGACTAGAGACCCTACCTTCTGAACCATCATTGCTGCTTGTTATAAACATTCTTTCCTTCTCTCTGATCTAATACCACTATATCTCTCTTATTCCCTTGATGAATAAGTTCATCAAGGCCAAGTGCAAGGTCCCACACCTGGACTGGGGCCATTGCAAGCATGAATAAAGGCTGAGAGATGAGTGGATTGAGAGCAGCCCCAAGGAGAATATAGCAGTATAGGGTGCTGAGAAGCTCAGCGTGAGCCAGCAGTGTGTGCTTGCAGCCCAGAGAAGGACAACCACATCCTGGGCTGCATCAAAAGGGGGATGGCAGCAGGAAGAGTGAGGCAATTGTATGCCTGTACTTCAGTCTTGTCAGCCTCCACCTGCAGTGGACTACTGTATTCAGCTCTGGTTCTGAAGCATAAGAAGGACAAGGACCTGTTGGAGAGGGTCCAGAGGAGGGACACACATTTGTTCAGAGGTCTGGAGCACCTTTTGTGATGACGGTATGAGAATGCTGGGCTTGTTTAGCTTGCAGAAGAGAAGGCTCTAGGGAGACCTCATTACAGCCTTCCAGTACCTGCAGATGGCCTAAAGGAGAGCTGGAGATGGACTCTTAATCAGAGAGAGCAGTGGTAGGAGAGTGGTTAATGGTTTTAAATTAAAAGAGGCAGATTTAGATATTAAGAGGAAATTCTTCACTGAGGGAGATGAGGCACTGGCACAGGCTGCCCAGAAAAGCTGTGGGTTCCCAATAGCTGGAAGCATCTAAGGCCAGATTGGACTGGGCTTTGGGCAACTTGATGTGATGGGAGGTGTCCCTGCAGATGGCAGAGGAGTTGGAATTAAAATTATTCCATGATTCCATGATCCCCCATGTAGAGCGACCCTGCCAACAAAATATCTTCAGAGAGAAGCAAAATTACTCTGCCTTCTACTGTGATATCATGCCTGAAAGTTTAATTTTATTCTTGTGCTTCTTTTCCAGCAACTCAGTAAATTTGTATCTTCCAAAATTCACTCTTCTTGGGAGATACAACCTAAAAAATATTTTATACAAAATGGGCATAATGGATCTATTCACTGATAAGGCTGACCTTTCTGGTGTCACCGGACAACCCCAGCACAGAATTTCCCAGGTAAGTGATATTTTTTTTTCTTTTCTGTTCCTATGGTTATTGATGTTCAGATTACAGTGTTTTTGAATATTCATGGTGTAATACTAACATGAGGAAGATTCATTTTACCTGAAAAGGCAGCAGTTGACACACAGAGTATTTCACCCATATTACTTGGGCTGTCAGCAGAATTGTATTGGAGTAGGTTCCAAGTTTCAAATCTGGGAGGCACTTTTTATCAATATGGGGACACATTATAAAACAGCCATTACAAAATCATTGTCTCTCCACACTTAAGTGTCCTTTTGCACTCTACTGTTGCAATCATTACTTTGCTGCTTCTATGTATGTCTACCTTCTTAGTGTCAGGCCCAGGCAAAATCTATGGATAAGTCATGTGTCAAGATACATAAAAGTTGATGATCAGGGCTACCCTGCAGTGCAAATTCATTGCCAAATATAAGCAAAACAACTAGGTGGAATTGCAGGTGAAAGTTAGTGAATTAGAGTCTCTGAACCTCTCAATTTTGCTACTATACTAGAACTTGCACGTTTCTCTGCTCTGTCCTTCTATTTATAGAACTGCTTGTTTGGCCCTAATTGTTACAAGATTTTAAGGAAGATGAAAAAAAAATGTCAGGATGCTGCTTGTTGTGCTTATCTGTATGTTAGTTCTTCAACTGTACAAACTTGTCAAAAAATTCAATGTGATTTTGCTCTCTTTTCAAATTTACGCTAGCTTTGTAGATTTGCACAAGTGGCAACATGAAATACAAAAACTAAACAAAATTTTAAAAATGGAAAAATACTGTTTTTGTGAGCAGGAATATGCCTCTTCAACAGATATGCGTTCTCTAAGATGAAGAAAGCCACAGTTCATGTAGTCTGTTGATTTTTCTTCCCTGAGACTGCTCTTTTTGTGCATTAGACTGATAATTTCTTATTAATAACTTCTCCAGACACTTCTGGCTCAGTTCCTCTTAAGATAACTGGTTTTGTACCATTTTGACTTGTAACGTATCTGTTTGTTCACAGGCTATTCATCAGGCTGTGGTAAAGGTGGATGAGACTGGCACTGAAGCAGCAGCTGCCACAGGCATGGAAATAGTGCCTATGTCCGTTCCAGTTGTCATTAAAATGAACAGACCCTTCTTATTGGTCATAACTTTAAGGGACAACATACTGTTCATGGGAAAAATTGTGAATCCTCTGGAAAAAGAATAAGCTAATATACACAATAGGTATGCAGTTATCACCACCATTAAATCCAGTGTTTCACCTGATGCACATGGCATGGCTACAGAGGGCTCTCCACCCCTTAAACTGTATTATTCACTCCTTTTTTTTTTTTTTTTTTTTTGTATATGTGACACTTCATCAGTTTAAATTGTCATAGTTGCATATTTGTTTGGACCTTTTTTTTTTTTTTTTGTTAAAGACAAAGGTTGCATCCAGGCAAAATTATCATTAAATCTGGAACAGAATAGGCCCGTGTGACAGTGACAGCACAGATGAATTTTCAAACAGGGAAAATGAGGAGCATGTGGGTGGAGAAAATTGTGCAACCCTGCTTCTTCCCTCATAGTTGTGGCTGCCTTCTCACTTTTTTTTTTTCTTTTTTCTTTTTTTTTTTTTTTTTTTTTTTTTTTTTTTTTTTTTTTTTTTGGCATTGATTGACAAATGGGTGTAAGTTATGGCACTTGGCTACTTGTGCCCATTTTCCTACCAAGTCTAGGATAGCTTTTAACGTCCATAGTGCTTACTACCTTGAACAGTGCCATTTTCCAGTGACTCTGTTACTTCCTTGCATCTTGGCTGTTGTGGTAGCTTGGCTGCTACAAAGAGATTACAAGAAAGACATGTCTTTCCCTTGCATATGTCTGTCCACTGTTTCTGTAAGGCTTCCCAAGCCATACTCGTTCCAGGGTAAATATGTCAGAATTGGGTCTAAGAAAGGAAGATGTAGATTAGATCTCTGCAGTTCAACTCCCTGGAGCAAACATTTGTGAACCAGATACATGGCCTACAGCAGCCACAGAATTTCTTCCAGCCCCTGCCTGAACCAAAATCAGCTTCTAGAGGAAACACTAGCCATCTCCACAAGGTGCCAGTGCCCATTGAGATACCAACTGGCCCTGTGAGATCACCCATGGTAGTAAGCACCACTGCAGTATTGTTTGTAGGATAGAGCACCCTACTGGTAGCACCTTATACCCCATTGGTGACTTATACCATGTCTTCTGACATGAACCCTTCTGTTCCCAGACTATCCAGTAACATGATATTGGTACTCCATTTCTCATCTGCTTCATGGTTAGTATAGCAGCAATATTATAGGTTATGTTTTCTCTATTAGGATATACAGTACCGAAAGTCACATTCATAATGTACATGCTTATTTATTTTTCCTTTTCTGTCTTTTACTTCTTCTTTCAGAACATCTATCAGTGTTTTATTTCTGTGCCCATGTTCATGACATATATCTGATTTCTGGTTGCAGGAGGGGTAAATTATTGACTAAAATGGGTTTGTGTGTTAATGGGTGTTAAGCATTAACAACAGTCTTTGTATTGTCTTGAACTACACAGAAAAATGTACTACAATAGAAGAAAAACAGTGAATAAATATGACATTAGAAGTCTCTAATTTTGCTATTTTTTTCTGTAATTCTGAGCTAAAAATTACAAAAATGGTTAAAGCAGGATATTGACCAATATTTCTTATTGACAGTTGTCCATATAGTGCTCCATGGTAACACCAGCAATGATCTTAAGAAAGCTCACTCTCTTTGGTCTGAGCAGAAAATCCATGTTCAGTGCATAGCACTATTCAGTGCATAACCTCCCTATTAGGAGGAGAAATTGTTGAGAGAGTTGGACATTCCTTTGATGAAGCAGTATTTATTTGAAAGGCAATGTACAATGGTGCTTATTCTATTTTACCAAATGTTTAGCTTCATATGTGCCTTTCATCATCTCTATTCGAGGAAAAGGTCTCTCTCAGCTCCCTTTGAGAGCTATGTTATGACGTTTGGTATGTGTACTGAGCTGCGGATCTTGTTTTTTCAGGTACCTTATTCCATAAACAAAATATGTTTATTTTATGCTCTTAGCTTCTGTACTGAGTTGATATCATCAACAACATAGATCACAATATTTTAAAAAACATACATACTTCTAAAGACTATTAAAGAAAAAATGAGGTAATTTCTTTAGGATCTATCAGCATATTGTAGAGGAAACCATTTCTGAATAAAATCACAATGATATAGCAGGGAAGAAAAACTCACCTGTGTGGTATTCAAATTGGACAATAAGGAAAAATAAACTCACAGGCTCCCAAAATAAAGTTAGATATACTCAGTTTATTGTCTTTTGTCTCTGATCACATCACTGGATCTATAGATAATCTTAACAGAGGGCATTTTTCTACAAGGTCTTAGAGAACTTTTAATTCTGTATTTATCTGCGCACACTGCAGATAATTCCAGGTCACAGTAGTAAGATATAATCAAATATTGCAGCTTGCTTTCCTTAAAAATGTGTAGCAGTAATAGATGTACACCCCCCAAAAAAACACCAAAACCAAAAACCACCAACAACAACAAGAAATCAAACCAAACAGACAAAAAAGGCCAACTTGAAAAAGAATGGTAAAAAGAAAAAAAAAAAAAAAGAATTTTAATAACATGTTAATGAGAATTACGAAGAAAAATTTCAGAAAGTGGAACTTGTGATCAAACTGGGGAGGTTGAACAGGGGAGTGGGACACCAAAACGCAAAATAGAAAACTGGAATAAGTAGGAAAAAAAACAGCTTTGGGAGAGAAAAACAATTACAGATGTCCTAGCTGTTAAATAATATATTATTTTCCATAAGCATCAGAAACCTGCCAGAGAGCCTGAGGGGCCAATTTGTTTTCAAATGTACAAAGGAGTGTTCAAGGAGATAATGCCAGAGTAGAAAAGTTCAATCCATTGCAGATGTACTTCCTTTGCAGTGGTTGAGCCTTAGGAACAATTTCAAGTTGAATTAACAGTAGAAGAGATTTTAGGGGGACAGGGAGAGGGGAACGAGAATGTAACAACAAAGTGCTAAGTATTTATGCAAGAGCTCTTATCTGTCTTAAGAAAAGTATTAAATCTTTCACTGTTATGCACCACTTAGATTGGTCTCTATATCAGAGTGACAAAAAGTTACAAATGTAACATTAAAAATAAAAAAAGTTTGCATGTAAACATGCAGTGAAATGAAGATCACTTAGTCCAGTTTTTAAATTTTGGAAACTAGAATTTGTCGTCGTATGAATACATATGACAAAACATTCAAGAATTAATAGGGCTTTGCTGAAGAATTCTTTGAAACTGTTGATATGTGTGTGGATTGCAAATTGATTGATATATTGCAGGAATTCTTCATAAGGATCTTTAAAAATATATAATCTAGGAGCACAGGGAAGATCCTTCTGTGACTTTATAAGCAATAAGTTCAGGAAATCTTTCAGGGAATTCAGAGATTATTTCAGAATGGAATGAATTTCGAGGTGATATATTTTGCTGATGGTTCCACATTGTTCATGGTCTTAAAAAAACTGTATATAAGGATGTCATTGTACTGAATGACTGGCTGATAAAAAGGCAGTTTATTGATAAATGATAGAAAAGTTTTTAATTTGGTAGCATCTGATAAAAACAGTATAGAACATTTTCATCATTTCAATTTGAAATTGCCATCAAAGCAAAAACATTCCTGAAAATGTTCTAACTTCTTTGAGCCTGTTTCCTTAAGTGGAAATAACATCCTCAGACAAATTCCAAGAAGTTTTTCCAAGAAAATTATGCTAAAGGAACTGTAATGGGCAATAAGGAATGCAGGCACACTGAAGAATCTGTCTACTTGCATGAAAGTCCCGAAAGTCTCTCAGATGCAGAAAGAAATGAAGTTTGTGATGTACTTTGTACTAAATGAGTAATTTTCAGACCATGGATTTGTAGCTCAGCTATGAGCTTACTGTCATCAAAAAAGCAGAGAACAGGATTCCCATCTCAAAGATTTGATGGACTTGGTTTTTATAGTAAACTATGAAGAGAAGGGTAAAATATTTTCCTCCTTTGGAAATGGTGCATCTTCTTAGGCTTATCCTGGCTTGTTGGATTCAGTTTCTGGTGAAGAGATTCTAGTTGTTGTGCTTCAAATTTTACCTCAGAAGGAATCTTAATAGTTCAGAGGTCTCCAAAGAGCAAGGGATGCTAATTGTCATCTGTGCTGTAATATTTGGGTGTTGTTTTTGAAGTTATAGTAATTAAGAGTGTGGAGGCGAATTACAAAAACAAATCTGTTTGTTAAGAGATCTATTCAATCATCATTAGTAGGAAAGCTGGAGTATTCACAAAGGTTGGATACCAGTTCAAACAGGTTTCTATAATCCCCACCCACCTAAACTCAAGCAAAGGCATTAATTTAATAACATTGCATCATCCAGGAAAAAAAAAACACAACACAACAACACAAAAAAAAAACAATGCACGCACACTCTCACTGCCTGATCAATGAACTTGAGAGCAGGGCACTGTCACCTAGTTCTTATGACCTGATTACCCTTTTCTGATCTTTGCATCTGGGCCCTATCTCACTGACCCCAACCCTAGGACAGCTGTAATGCTCCGCTGCTATGTGGAAAACACACCTGGGTATTCAATGAATATCAGTCCAGGCTTTCCCTCATCATTAAAAGTTTGCTTTTGATGAAGGATCTTGTGATTTTTTAGGGAATGCTTTCTCCATGATTCTTCAAAGGGCTCTGCTGGCCAACTCCCTCCAAGAGGATGCAAGGAATGGAGAAGAGAGGCTTGGTGCTACAAGAAAATGAGAGTTGTCTTCTGATGAGAGTGACTGTTGTTGAAAAAGAATGTTAGAACTGATAAGAATACATAGGATGCAACACTAGATAGGTCAACATTTTTTTTAGAGAAATTCAGGTCCAGTATCAAATAGTCACAATTCAAACAGTTTTCTATTAAAATTAACTAACTTGAGATAGTTTTATAATGCATAATTCTGTGGAACAATGGCTCTTTATGGATTCAACTAGTGCTTTTATAAGTCACATGATGTTGGCCTAAATCTTCCTGCATAGCTAGAAGTTGTAGTCAGAAGAAAGCTGACTTTACGCTATATTCAAGACAAAACTGAAAGCTGACACCTTTCTTTGTTTTCTACTTGGTGGATTCTTTTTTTTGTACCTACATTTCCAATTAAGATCTTCT